CAAACATTACCATTTTTATGAAAAAATGTCATAAAAATCCTTATTAATGGCAAAAATTACTTAACATTTATGGGTCTGCTTGCTCGACTGGGTAGCCATGTTGTAAATTTCTCTTAGCCCTTCGTTTGAAGTGAGGTCCCGAAAAATCTTCGTTTCGAGGGCTATCTAGCCCTTCCCCTTACCCCTACCCCTCCAATCAAAAGAGAATTGAGACACCCCTACCCCTACACGTGAACGCGCCAAACGGAGGGGTAGGGGTAAGTGTAGGGGTAAGGGGTAGAATTGGGATTGGGCCATAATATATATTATGGCACATGCTGACACTGGTTTTCTTAAGGATACATCTGCTATCTGTATGAGTTTTATAGGAAATTTTGCTTTCTATTTTCAATTTAACCTCTGTGTTTCTGTATTAGTTAGTAAAGCATGCAAACCATTCAGCATAACATCTCTGCTCTTATCTGTTACGGTGACTGTGGTGGTCGCTTGAAAGATGCCGCTGGGGAAGGTGGTGTACTGACAGGTGTAGTTCCCGGTGTCATTCATTGTCACGTATGAGACTCGGATGGACACATGATACTGGGAATGATTGAAAAAAGTTACTCTGCCACTGAATTTGGGACTTTGGTAATTTGTCCCATACTCTTTGTCAAATACAACAATTTTTCCTTCCAGCTTCTCTGAGGATCCCCACGACCACTCAACCTGTATGACAGTAATATTGTTCTGACTCAGTCTACAGTTCAGTGTGAAATCAGCACCCAGGTCAGCATTAACATGTGGATCTGGAATGATGTGTGGAACATTCCCAGCTGAAAGACAGACAGGCAAACAGACCGACAGGGAAAAGAGAGAGAAGTGAATGGTTACATAGTTACAATTGTTACACCAGCAGGTTAAGTATGATTAAAATCAACTTCATGATATTGGACTGTGGGAAGAAACCTATATAAGGGGCAATGTGCAAAATCCACACACATTACGGGGGAAAGGAACCCCCTCCCCCCCCCGACATGGATATGTGAGGTTACACCACTAGCCACAGACAGACTGCAGTGGAAAACTGCACTGATTTTAAATTAATATACATAAGAGCTTCTTACCTGTATAAAGAGCCAGGCTGGTCATCACCAGTAAAATGGAAAATACGCCAAAATCCATGATAGTTTCAAAGCTGACCTGGGAGAAAATTAAACATTGTACTTTAAAGGGATGATAATAAAAAAATATTATGATATCCCTGGTCTGGTTTAAATAAAACTACAGGTATTGGTACAAGCAGCACAGCATAGTGATATCAAAGAAAACGTAAGTTTCAGACACTTGATCCCATTAACACCTTAACTCCAAAGACTTTTGATGGATCTTTTTCGAACTTTGTGAATACATTGTCTGGGTGATGAACTGGAACTGGTCAGGTTTTTACACAGATAGTACTAGCAGATAGCATTTGATGAAAGTATGCATATGACATGTCAGAAAATGGTATGACAAGAAAACACAAGGCTGTGCATACATGAGCCTGTCCAACCAGAGATTTTCCCCAGTTGCTGCCCATGTCTAATGTAAGTAATAATAATAATAACACAGGTCTGCAAAAAAAAAATTTTTTTCAGCTGCATGGGATATTTTTGGTAAATTTGATGTTTTTTAGGGTGCTGAATCCAAAAATGACCTCCATTTCCCTCCATCACGTACGTGTTTTTGCAAAACATGAGGAGTTTATATTAAAAAGGCACAACAGCGATGAAAAAAAATCAATATTTTATTACAATTAACATAATTTTTCTTAGAATTGAAAAAAGAAACAAAAAACTATTCCTTCATGACATATTTAACACTACATGTTTACTCTTTTTGTCTGTGAAACCTTTTCTCCTTCTTTTTGATGCTCCTCTGAATACACTTTCGCTTTCCATCTTCTGTTTCCCGCCTGAGCATCCAACAGTAGTCAGCTAGCATGTTGACGTCCCATCTTCCTTGGTATCGTTTCTTGATTTCACGAACATCCTGATGAAATCTTTCACCCTGCTCTTCACTATAGGCTCCTAAGTTTTTGGGAACACAGTCAATATGGGAGTGTAGGAAATGAACTTTTAAGCTCATCTTGCATCCTTGAGCTTCATATGCAGCCAACATGTGTTGTACAATGGTTTTGTAGAGAGGGTTGGGGTCCCTCATCAACAGAAACATCTGAGCTAGATTTGTCCTGGTGAGGTAATGTGTCTCTGTCCTCAGAATCACTCCGGATATCAACTTGAAGGTGGGTGTGGAACTGGTATTTCTGAGGTATGAGGCACTGGACGAATAGCTGAACTAAGGTTTGGGTAAGATATGTTCTTTTTATTTTTAGTATTAAAGCCTCTTACATCTACCGTACAGAAATAGCAATCAGTAGTGTGGTTTTGCTGTTCACGCCACATCATTGTCCCGCTAGTGTCGACTTAGACCGGTTTTACTGTATATTATGTCTACAATAGGTTATTATAGTTAACACAGGTTTTAGGTCTTAATCAGCCTAGTCATCAGGCTATATTTTTTGTATTAGATTGGATAAATTGTTCTGCTATTGTGTTTTAGACCAGTGTAGTCTGTGAAGAAGGCAGTCAAGTAAGGATTTCATTTCACTTTGTACATGTGACAGTAAAGCTTAAGTCTAGAAAACAATGCACCAAGCTGGAAAAAGCTTCAAATTGTATGCATAATCACATATACACAAATATGAAGGTAAGAAAATGAAGAAAGCTAACTTAGCTAAGGCTATCAGCATTAAAGTTGCCTAAAAGTCAGAGAAACCACAAGTCAATGATGTGTAAAATGAAAATATATCTTGTGATTGGTATGCAGTGTCAAACAGAGACAGGTTGTCAGGGAAGGTTGTGATTCATGATCTCTTACAAATGGCTGGTTTCCCAATTGAAGTTGATAAAAGGTGATACAAAAATGGCAGTAGAAAAGGTCAGAAACATTCTTCTATGCAAATATTCACTCTTTTCTTGATTTATTAAACCTGTTGTGAATTGGGTCGTCATTGTAATTGTGAATTGGGTTTGTCATTTGTAAAAAGTTCATCCCCAGAAAAAGCGATTGGGAAACACTGCTGTATTGCATTCTCAGGACTATAGACCATTTATATATGTAGATCCATGCATGCAAATAGATATTATTCATTTGATTATTATTAGAATAGCAATATTATCAAATTCAATATGTAGTTTCTGAAATAGCCAATTAAATTCTCCAAAGCAAATAAAGTCTTTGGCTCATGCAAATACATGGAAAAATCAATAAATCCCACTTAACATTTTTACTGTTGGTTAAGCAGCACCCCCTGATCCATCTACAAAAGGTTCTGGAACATTCGGTGCACCATCCCCAGGCTCTGCAACAGTTTTTCCCCCAGCCTGTCATACTTCTCAACTGCCATCTATCTCATAAACACCAATAGAAACTGTCTCCTACTGAATATTTGTACTACAATGTTATTTTTCACTGTCTGCTGTCCAGGGGTGTGTCACGCCCCGCTCCGTCCGATCCTAACATGTGCCACGCCCCCTCGTTAACCTCATGTGGAATCCCAGTGTTTTATAGCTGTTTCTGATTGTTGTCATTAGTTCATTGTATTTAGTCCACGTCTGTGTTAGTATCCCCAGTCCGGTCATTGATGTTGTATCGTTGCGTGCTTTGTGTTTTGCTTTAATTAAACCCCATGTTCCTGATCCCTGGCTTCCTGCCTGTTTGTCGGACCGCGAGCATAACAGGGTGAAAGTAGTTTTCATTTCTTGCCGGTAATACAATCTTTTAATCACTTTATCGTTTTATATCTCTCTCCAGTCGCTCCTGAAAAAAAACTTTAAAAAAATGTTTTACTTGCTTTATTGTGAGACTCAATCATACAAGAGACATTCAATGCTCACAATGTGTGGTTTCAGTGCAGTGCATTAACAGTTTAGAACTCTATTTAGAACTTTCTTTTCAGTAGATTTTATTTGGCACTTAACAGAAAAATGCAAAAATATTGATCCCTCCATCAGAACAAAAAACTTAAAAGAATTTCCAAATAGGCCTAAAGTAGCTGTCCTCTTCTGGGTGCTGACGAGCCATGCCACATGTTGAATGAGCTGCTCTTCTTCCCTTAGCCAGCCAAGTCTTCACACAAGGCAAAGGATTCCACTGTTTGCTTGGTGGTCCCACTGTGCTGATGAAGAGGAGATTTGCTGCATTTTTTGTTGTCAGTTTGCTCCTGTACTCAGTTATGATATTGTTCATGGCACTGAAGCCCCGCTCACAGTCTGCATTACTTGCTGAGAGGGTGTCTACTGCTATGCACAACTTTTTCATGTTGTTTGGAATGCTTCTTCCTCCACTTGCCTTATATTCAACAAATCCAAGGTGTGTTTCTTTTTCATTAACATGTAGAGC